CTAGAAGTGACTTATTAACAAAGTATCACAACTGTTATAGTTACTACTGTTCTTCACTGTCATTGATTATATATGACACTTCCTAGAAGTGACTTATTAACAAAGTATCACAACTGTTGTAATTACTCACTACTGTTCTTCACTATCAATGATTATACATGTATTACCTGACCCACATTTGTTTACAGAAACAAACAAATTAGAAAAGAATAACTAATTTTCTTTTTAATTCATAGCTGCAAGAGCACAAAAATAAAATGCAGGTATTTCAATAGCGTTTTTATTCTGTTTTTAATAAAATAAAAACCGTTTAAGACTAGACACTTGTTATATTAACACAGGGTACTGCACTCTCATATGTTGTTTAATGGTGTGGAGAAAAATGTTTTACATAATAACTCTCAAACAACAAGGTAGCTTTTGATCATGTGGTAGTTTACATACACACACACACACATATTATACTAAACTCTAAAATAAAAATAAAATCTTCAAAACCAGCCCTTATTATTCAAGTATGTATCAAGCTTTCCCTTAAACTTCCTTCTGAAGGCAACCCATTCCAAACACCATCCACCCTGTCTTAGCTGAAGATGACTCCTACTTTGCCAAAATTTATATTTGTGTCCTCTAGTCTTACAATTTTCACCACTAGATATGAAAAAATATGAAGCATAAAACTACCAAACAACCTTAGATACCTCGATGAGGTCCCCTCTAAATCCTCTTTTTTTTTTTTCAAAAAAGTTTAAGAGATCTTAATCTTCTGCAAAAGAAACTTTTCAATATTTCGAAGAAAACAACCTTCAAATTAATATCAATTAATTAATACATTTTCTACAGTGCATTTCACTATATGTTCGTTGAAGTTCCTCCCTTCTTGCCTGGTGTTGAAGGGACTGACTTGGTTACACACACACAAAATTTCATCCTCTTTGTAAGTTATTATGAAGTTCTTTAAGTCTGTTGTAAGCCTAAATAAATCATCAGTTATTGACATTGATGCACTAACCTTGAGTTGAAATGGTTTTCAGTTTAGTTCCATGTTTATTATTGTGTTTAAATACTTTTTATATTCAGCTTTCACTTCAACAAATTTATGGTTTATTGTTATAAATATAGGTGAATCACTTACCATTGGTGAAATCTTATTTGCGCTCAGTCCAGAACCTGAACAATAAGGCTATCAATGAGGCCCTCAATGGCCTTCTTATTGATGAAGAAGACTTTCAAGGCCTCAGAACATCCATTGATGCATTTGACAACTTTGACAACATTGCTCTTGCCCAGCGTTTAGAGAAACACGAACTTATTGAGTTTCGGCGTATTGCTGCTTACCTGTACAAGGGAAATAATCGCTGGAAACAATCGGTAGAGCTATGTAAGAAGGACATGCTCTTTAAGGTATCTGTAAATTTAATCATCTTTAAATTTAATAACTTGAATTTTTAAGCTGGAAAAGTTAGCTTGTGTACGTAGGATATTTATTAATTTCCTTGTTCTCGTATTGGCGTGTGGTCAATCTGTAATGGATGAAATTTGAAATCATGTTGTAGCCTGATACTAATGAGTAAAAACAAATCGCTGACTGGAACAGAAAGAAATTATCTCAAGCTTCTTTCAAATACTGTTTGTTTTTAGTACCGCACTGTTTGAATTAGATTCAGAAACATAAAAAAAAATGGTTTTCTAGAAATTCCACAACTAAGTCATAGTATTGAATTAGTCTAGTACAGTAAAGATAAATAAAAATCATCTCATACCATGCAATTAAAAGAATGGTTTCAAAAATACTAAAGATGCCCACTCCCCCACTTTTTTGTATTTTCTGCTGAGCATACACATATATATATATACACACAAGATGTACGTAGAATTTCTGACAGGATGAATTTTTTTCTGTTGCATATAGGTGACTAGAGGATGTTGGATGTTATCCACAAATTAGAATAAAAAGAAAAACATGTGCAATATCTTCATCAGAGCATAAAAGGCTCTGTTACAGATGCTCTAGGTCAACCGTCATTGAATGTAATCAGAATATCTCCTTTGTATCTGTAGTGTCAATTATATATGTATGAACTATAGAAATTACCGAAGAAAGTAGATTTGGTTATCAAGTATGGTTTTGTTATTTTTTTGAGAGAATTCTTTTTTTGTTGTTAAATCTAACATAGTTTGATTGGGAGTTTATAGAAAATTTGAGAACTTTAATGGACAGCAACTGCCCCTTGAAAAAAAAAGGGGGTAACAATGTTTCAGATACTGAAGCTTCCTTCTGAAGAAGGCCTTAGTAGAGAAACCGATATGTTATCTTTTTCTCTCTACAGACAGCTGCGTGAGAGTTTATAGAATTGATATGAATCACCTGTATATAGTTATATAACACCCTGATGAAACTCTGATAGTGAAACATTTGTAAAAAAAAAAAAAAAAATGTTTTCTGGATCTATGCTTACTATGATCCTTTTTTAATTGATGGAAAATGTCTTGGTATCATAAGAAAGAGTTTCAACACCTCTAAAGTCGTGATATGAATCACCTGTATATAGTTATATAATACCCTGATGAAACTCTAATAGTAAAACATTTGTGAAAAGAAAAAAATGTTTTCTGGATCTATGCGTACTATGATCCTTTTTTAATTGATGGAAAATGTCTTAGTATCATAAGAAAGAGTTTCAACACCTTTAAAGTTGTGCTTGTAACATATACTAACAGAGATGGTTTAAAAGTTTAATAATATATACTGACAGAGATGGTTTAAAAGTTTAATAACGTATACTTACAGAGATGGTTTAAAAGTTTAATAATATATACTTACAGAGATGGTTTCAAAGTTTAATAATATATACACAGTGTGGTCACAAGTAAATAGACACCACCTTTTCAAAAAAAATGAAATTTTTTAGTCATATTCACATGAATTGATAT